ATACAGTACTGACTTATAGTATTTACCCATTTGGATGCGGCAAAACCTTGTCTTGTGCTGAATTGTTCTTCCACAAATCTACAGCGGTGGGACAAATTTCTTGACCTTGCCTTGCACGAACATGACCGAACGAAGTCAGTATTGGTGAACTGCATGCAGGTTCCATATTTTCAGTTGTCAGTGGCTCTGAAATATATAATAAGATATTAAAATAATTATTTCTTTCACTTGACTGTTTGTTTTGTTTTGATTCAGCTATGGTATGTGTCAGTTGTGCTGTCACAAGATCTTCTTCTTCTTTGGCTCCAGCAGCTGAAACATTTGTTACTAATTTGCTGTAAACTTCTTCGGAAACTCAAGGTGACTGAATTATTTTCAATGTGTAAAATTTCTACAAAGTAAATATAGAACATTCCAGACCTACTGATTGTAACTGCATAGTTATTTTTTTGCAGCCCACTGTTTCCACAGAGGCAAAAAAGATCAGTATTTATTTAAACATGGTAGGTTATCTTCAAAACTTGACTTCTGCAGTGCTGGTAGTATTTATTTAGCTTTTTAATTAACTCATGACAGGCCTGCAGACATTTGTATATTGTATTCGTTTCCTCAAAAATTTAATGTTCCCTGTTGTTATCTCATCCCAATTTGCAGCTCATTATTTTCACTGATTGTGGAAACTGGAAAATTTTCAGCATGAAAGGAGGTAAGAATGTACCACGCTAATTCTAAAGCAAGTAATGACTGGAGGGTACGTATGCGGGTAATCTGTGTACATAGATATTTGGTATGTTAATAGTGAGAGTCCCTCTGAGTTTGCCATCCAGTATCAGGGGTTTCACTAACATTTTCAGCAGAAGGGTAACTGGTTTTCAAAGGCAGGCAAAACTAACAGCTCGATAGTCAAACCGGAGGGGCAAAATCATCATCGCAGCTGGTCAATTTGCCCAACCGCTGCTGCAGCATTCTTTTTTTTTCCTTTGTTCTTCTCTGTGGTCTTCTGGGTTGACCACCTCTCCCTGTCCTCTCTGGTCTCCCAGTGCAGTTCTAAAATACCTGTGCACAGCAGTTTTTCCTTTTGTGTTAAAGTAAAAGGTAGATCTATATAAGTTTTCAATTGGAAATTGATATATCTATGATTCGATTCGATACTTTTGTGGATCACTTTTACTCCCTCAAAGTAAAGACTTTTTTTATATTATCAAATAATAATTATTTCAATGTTTAATTACTTGATCTGCTTTTCTAGGAGAGGCATTGCGTCCAAGCTTACAACAACTTTGTGCTAATGTTCTGGGACATTTGAACACTAAAGGATTCTATCCATCACTTAAGGTATTCATTTATAAGCATATCGACAGTAAATGCATGTCTTGAAAAGATTAATATATCGTTGAGGATTTTTGCTAAGCACAATATCTTCAAAGACAAACCTTTTTGCCAACTGAATGAGTAGAGGTTGTCTTGTCTTGTTTGAAGGATTTACTGATGGCTGGGCTGGCCCGTAGCGAACCTTCCCTCAAGTCAGCTACGTTCATGGCTGTTATCACTTTGGCTCTGAGGTAAAATCGTTGCGTATCATATAACTCTTAAATAATTTTGAACATTCAACAGTTTAAAGTGTTATTAAAATGAGTGTTGTTTGCTTGATAGGAAATTCTTACCTGGAAAAAGGCTAGAATTAGCCTATGTTGGACAAACATCCCATCCAGGGGGGAGTGACGACACTATTGTTATTGTTATCATCACTGTTATTGCTAATCAGTTATACTGTTATCGCTATCATTATCATCGTTGTTATTGTCTACATTTCATTTTTACTTGTCCTGTTCATATCAAATTTCTTTCAGGCCCCTGATTCTCAGCAACTTTTCCGATAATCTCAGCAGCTTATTTATACTCAACATTCTCTCTGTTCCTGGTCTTATCCTGCATCTTTCCTCGGTTGCACCAGATGTAAGTCTTGTTACCTTTCCCTAAACATTTTCTAGAAAGCAAAGGCAGCCAAAGGTTTTCATGAATAATTTCAGAGCATTTTTGAAGACATTCAACTAGGATTGATAAATATAGAGTTTTAAAGTATGAAATTACATTTCAACATGTTTTTCTAGACCCAGATAATGAATGGAAGGTATGAATTATATTCTTGATGGTCATCTTTAAAGTCTGAAGTTTTGACCATATAGATTTATTACAAGGCCGTTATTACTGTAGCTCTTTGCCCACATTGGGGGCCTACAGTACTAAAGGTAATATTCTAAATGAAGGACATGTCACATGTCTCTTATTTTCTTTGCTTTCCTCTGCAGGGTTTAAAGCCCCTGAAAAGCCATGGCATCTATGAAAAGGTTTTATCATTTCTCCAGCAAGACCAGAGCAGTAGAATTGTTCTGAACTCCTTAGAATGTAGCTATACACTTTGTCTTTTAGGTGAGTTTATTGGGATGGTGTAGAACTCACTAGTTCATGTGATAGTGCTTAGGAAAATTTGATTTATTGGTAGTTCAGTTCACCATTTGTTTAGTTAACTACTTATTAACTGAGAGTGAGGTCTTTAAAGGAATCTCAAACTGAGACCTTACCATATTGACCTGGTAATAGCGAGGTCAGTATGGCAAGGCCGAGGTTTGAGATTTTCCCATAAAAACCAAATGTTTGAGGTTAATAAGTAGTTTATCATATCAAAATTGCTTTTTGCATGGTTTTTACAGGCCCATAATTGGTTTAATATGAGCATTACACAGGAGAATGATGCCCTGGCTAGTATTAGCCAATCAGAACGTGCATAATATAAGCTACAAACACAAGTCATGTAATAATGGACTGTTAAGCATATGACCAAGTGTCATTAATAGCCATTGGTATGCGACTTAAGAATCAACAACACTCTTGAAAAGGATCAGAAAACTTGTTTGCAAGTGTGTTGGTCTGACATTATTTGGGGTGTAAAAAATTTATAGTATGATTGGAATAGTGTTGATAATTGCCAAAATGTCTGGATAATAATTATTGAGGCCTAGATAATTATTGCTCTTTCACTGCACCTTGAGCAGTAAAAGCAGTCTATGGTGTCTTGTCATGCTTGGCAGTGTGCACCAACATCAACAGTGTTACGAACAGTGTGAGTCCACTTCCCAATATATGCTGATCAATACATTAAAAATCATGTTTCTTTGTTCACAGCCAATTTGTTAGAACTCTCTCAACTAGATGAAGAGGTGAGTGTGGTGTATTTTAAAGATAATGATAAGTTGAAAACATTTTGAAATTCCAAATGAAACAAGTTCATAATTCAAGCAGTTCTCTAACAACTACGGTTGTATGGTGGAGGCATGGTCCTAATTATTGTCAGTACACTGGACTCCAGATGGAGTAATCTGGGTTCAAGCCCTGGCTGGGGTCATTGAGTGCACATCGTGTTCCTTGACTCTTAACCCTCACAGTGTCTCCCTCCATCCAGGCATGTAATTTCAAAATGGGTAGCGGTGAATTTTTTGTTGGGGCTAGCCCTGCAATGGACTAATACTCCATGGCATCCAGGGGGGAGTGATAATACTGCTAGTCATTTAATGCTTCAGAAACTGGGATAAGCCACAGCTTTATGGGCCACTTGGTTCATTGTAGACTCTACCTACCTACTTACCTCTAATAACTTACTATCATCAAAAATGAAAACCAAACTATGGTAGAATCACCTGACCAATCATGGCGATTATCAATAACACCATGAGCCAATCAGAACAGTTACTGTAAGCAGAGACATGCATGCTGTATGGCAAAATGTTTTAGTGTTCATTTTATGGTCAATTTCTCTCTTAGGTTTTCAAAGAGAAGTTATCAGATTTTGTGGTAAGTACTAAATTGTCTTTCCAAGCAAGCAAATACCTTTTCCTGCTCAGGAATTATCCCATCTTCAAGATGCATAATTTTTAAATGCAAAGTTCCTTAGTAACAGAGTGGTTAAACTATTTTCTGATTGAACAATGAATCTCGGCTATAAATGTCGTTTACCATGATCATTGTCGTGTCAAGCCTTAAAGATCCTCCAATGTTTTCTTTTTTTCTAGGAAGTTGTAACAAAATTGCTCAGTTACTGCCAATCGTACATTGCTAAGAAGCAGTCCAATCTTACCAACTGGCATCCTATATTAGGATGGTTCAAACAACCCTCAGATGAAAGGTGAGTCATTCCACATCTAGCTGCAAATCAAGACTTCCATCCAGGGGGGATGGGATGGTGAGCTTAGGGATTGGGGAGTGGTCTGTGGGTAGATGGCCTCGACTTTACTTAAAGATAATCTTACTGGCAGAAAGCACAATGTATTTGCATACATGATAAGCTCTGTTTTATGTATGGGCTCGCTAGCATAAAGCCCTGGTCATTAGCTGACTCACAAGTAGTTGCGACTAGCCTCAAGTTGAACTTGCGTAGAGACTTGCAGTGGGTGGCCAAATGGACTCGCAGGTTTCCTTACCAGTACATGCAAGTCACAAAAAAGCATTTCAAGGCTACATATCACGTTTTCATTGGCTACTGGGTTGTTCTAACAACGAATGGGTGTCACTCAGCTTGCGCTGACTTAAGTTGGCTGCCAAACGGTGAAAAACTTGCGTCCACTTGCGTGCAAATTTGATCTTGACCAAAGTGAGCGCAAGTCAACGCAAGTGCCCGCAAGGCCTGGCCAAAAGGAGTCCCAAGTAGACCCAATTTTTCAACTTGCGTCTACTTGCGAGTCCATTTGGCCAGAGCTCAATGAGAATGATCTGACAAGATTCTTTGCTTATAGATAAATGTACATATGTATATATTTTTTTATAATCTAGAAATTGATTTTTTTTTTTGTCAGTAGGCTAAATAATTCCATTCCTCATGTGAGAAAGCAGCTGCAGTCATTGTGGAGACGGAAAGCAGTGAATCTCTTGTTTGAAGATCTCTTGATTATCAGCGAGTCTGAAAACAGTGAACTGAAGAACAAGGATGATAAAGGTTTGTCCAAGTAACACAACATTACTTTGTAAGTCTTACAGTCAGTAATTTTCAGAAAGTTTAAATCTAACTTAGATAAAAAAATAACTCACCAATAGTAATTGATGTTGTGGAACAATACTCGGCAAATGTCAGAAAACCGTTGGCAAGTTCGGATGGCTTATGATGGCGAAGACTGAAGAGGATTGCAATTATTGGATTATCTTGTTCCAGGTAATAAGAAACCGTGGTCTCGTATAAGCAGAGGTCGATCCAGATCCGGACAGTCCAGTTTATCCAGTTCACAGTCGGACGTCATTTTGAAGGCTTGCGTCATGTATCAAACTGTGTTGTCTACATTCTCTCAGATCAAGCTGGATATTTTAACAGGTTTGTAAATGCTACTTACAAAAGTGTCTTCTTAACGTTACATGCCACCCCTGAAGAGATTCCACTTGATCTTATACAGTCGAACGTTCACTAACGGCCACCTCTCTACAACGACCATCTCTACAACGACCATCTCTACAACGACCATCTCTCTACAACTCAGTGCCAGTATTTTTTGTCCCGGCAGGCGTTCCATACATTCACTCTTATTTTAACCTCAGGCTCTCTACAATGGGCGCCTCTCCACAACGGCAATGGCCACACGTGCGCGTCCCAAATGCCAAAATAACCTGTCCATAACGGCCAATAAATCAACGACTGACGAACGGTACACACAAAATGCCATTTTTCATTGACGAAAATGACGGTGACGAAAATTGATCTGTACTGCGTGTCGTTGGTCTCTGTTTCTGTTCAGTATGTTGATTGTGTCATGTATTAGCATGCTAAAATAAGCATTTTTAAAGGTAGAATTATTGCACCCGCGAAAAAAATACAGGTGACATATTACACTCCTACCACCCCATAGCAGCGACCTCTGTACAATGGTCGCTTTCCTCTGTCCCCAAGGTAGCCGTTGTGGAGACGTTCGACTGTATTTATACCAGATGCATTAGTGGCAGCTGCAAATGGTGAGGGAAGACTGGGGAGAAGACAAAATTCTCCCCAATATTTAGGGGTTGAGCTTTTATGAGCATTCTTTAGATTCTTTTTCGAGGTTAGACAGAATGGATAGGAGAAAAGTAGTGAGAGATAGGCAAGGCCATTCAACATAGCAGATCATGGGTTGTTTCTCTTAAATCTCCCTCTGCAGGGTTGAGTTATCAAGAAGGATTCGTTGTACGGCTTTGGAAGTTTTTCGAGTCGTTTGGTTCAGATGACAGCCCGGATGCTCGACTGTCTAGTCTGGAGAAGACGGGCTTGTTTAACAGCTGTGAACTTCAAGCATCTCTTGTACTCTTCTGTGACTGCTGCAGTCACTTGATGCCGTGAGTAACTGTCTATGTAACACAGCTATTTCTTTTAAACTATAGAGCAGTTTTCACTTGAGTGTCGAAAAGAAATAACTTTGGACGGGAGATTTCCGGAAATTTGTTTTTCGCAAATTCAGGAGTACTTCCAGAGGCACTCCTCCTTTTCAGGTTAGAAAAAATGGCAGAGCCCCGTTCCATTTACACGTTTTTGTAGCTTCCAGTACGCTTCGAGGACAAGCGTGCAGTCTTTGTTGATAACGTGAATGATAAGTGGTAGGTTGGTAGGCTGACTGTGCAAATCTCCGGCTTAAGCTTAACAAGCACCCGATACATCAGATTTCTTCCTTGCCGAGTATCCTGTCTCCCAAAAGAATTGGTATTCAATAATTTTCTTTGACCCAAAATCTGTGTTTCAAATTAGCTCTAGGTGGAAAAGCTTTCAGATGAGAATGACTCGAGTTTCACCCCTGTCGATTAAAGGTAGTTAACTCGAGAATAACCTATTGAAGCGGACAGGTCGTGAAAATGAAGGAGCATTTTTATTTCTTCCGTAGCATTGTTGATGACTCTGAGATGTATGAACAGCAAAAACCCTTCCGCTTAGACGAGCTGGTCAGAATTTCTGCCTTCCTCAATAACTTGGTCTTCAAAATGCTGTGGAATGAGATGGTAGATGGTAAGAACACAATGGCCCGAGGATTTCCCGACTGTTATCGACCAACCAAAAATGAGCACGAGCACTTCGAGAGTTTTCCGAAAAGATAAGATAAGATAAGATAATTTATTTCATGTCAAATTACACAGGAGGTGGTCTGTCAGTCCCCCGAGCCAGAGGCTTATGATAAAAGTGTTTGAAAATTGCAGGCTCAGTTCATTCTCGGACACACGATTCCGGCGGAGCGGACTCTTATCCCAGATTGAGTTTTTTCTTGATAAGCTTTTTTTCACTTCTGTCAGCAGAATACCTTGCTTAGTTCTTGCTTTCAAATCTTGACATTTGCAGTTTTTCCTAAGTTAGTTCCTCGTGGGAAGATTCATTTCACTTCCTACTACTTGCTATAGTCAAAAGATTGTTTTTTGCTAACCCTGTAATATTTGCATGGCGTATTTTCAGAAACCAGAGAACAAATGTTGAACTCAGCTTACACACTGTTGATGATACTGTACGACAGAGACTGCAGACGGACGTTCACCACTCAAGATCACTGGCTTGTTAGGTGAATGATAGTTATCTATCTTAAAAAAAAGTAAAAAATAAAATAAATAATACCTGTCCCTTGAAATGCCAAATTGGAACGAAATGTTGGAGACTATAATTATTACAGGGTTATATGTGACTACGTCAATTCGCGCTGAGTACCCTGGGAAGAAATCCCCTTTCTTTTCCCGAGACCTCCCCTGCCATTGTAAAAACATACCCCGCGCAATATTGAGTCTATGTTTGTGAGATGTCGTGTAATTAAAGATCATAAAAGACTTCAAAGTAGGTCAAATATATCGAAGTCACCGACCAATTACACTCCCCTCCCCCACTACCCCTCGTCGGGTCTTGTCACGTGGTACGTTTCCAATGACTCCATGATTGCCCTTTATACAAGGACAGCACACCCTGTAGATGGTGGTGGATTTGTGATCACGAAGTTGTTTCTCGCTTCTAACAAAGGTGCAGTTCTTGTAAAGCTGCTGAGTTTGCACAGTATGTGGTTGTAATTCTTCCTGCTTTAAAGTCTTACCCTTCATTGCACCGCAGGAGTGTTAAGACTAGTACAGTTGTATCAGAGCTTGACAAGCGAAAGAAAGGAGCCTTGATGGTGATCCAGAAAGTGCCGCATGTGTTACCACACAGAGAGGTAAGTTGCTAAGGGCCTCACACAGAGAGGTAAGTTGCTAAGGACCTCGAGCATGGTTCCTTTATTCCGCTTCCTCAAACGCCCTTTAAAATCCTCTTTGATTTCGCAGATTTTCGTTCACGTTCAACTGAACTTAGTCAGTGTGGGACCATTTGAAACTGTGGACAATGCTCTGCTTGCGGGCAACGTTTAAGTTTCAATTCTGTTTTGTTTCAAAACTGTTTTAGCCTCGGAATAAAAACACGGAAATCGGGCATCATCGAACCGAGCGATCATCATTGGCTATGTCGGGCGTCCAATTAGTTCTAGTTGTGAAGCTGCGAGTAAAATCGACTTGAGGGGAAGATGTACTCTCGGCCATTCTTCCCTCACTCGGCTTTTGCTGCTCACTAGGAAAACTGCTATCAATGTAGGTCCTTTCTGTAAGACGAGTTTCTATTTTCTTTTCTACGGTACATTTTTTTGTTTCGTTAGAGAGTTCAGTTGTTCAGGAAGCTGGTCGCCAAAGATAAAGAAGAACTTGGCATAACACGTCCGTCAGATGACTTTCTTCCGCATGGAACACTAATTACTGTTCAACGCACAAGATTGTTGGAGGTGAAGGACGTTTCGTTACATCTTACATCTTAGTCCTGCGCCAAGAGTTTAATAAATGTTGTTGGCGGATTTCTGTCAAAATTATGTGGGAATACGACGAACTGTTATTAATAACTTCTTGCTCTTTCTTTCTTTTGTTTTATTTTCATTATTTTACATTCAGCTTTCAGCAGTTGGTGCCCACTCAGATTGGTAACGATTATTGCCTTTTTCTTCATAATCAACAGGATGGTTATGAGCAGTTGTCGTTGCTTCCAGCTCGCACTTTCAAAGGACTTATTCGTGTCAGGTTCATTAATGAACAGGTTGGTGCCATGTTTATTTAGAATGGCTCTTCTTCACCGGCGTTTACTCCGGGCGTTTACTACGGTTAAATGTTGTGTTAAAAGTGATTGTGAAACCAGGTTTTCCTGTATGTAATTGTTTTGTTATTGTTTTTGTGGATGTCCATCACATTCCAGCCTCAATCAGTAAATAATAGTAAATGCTTTCTAATGATTTCAGGGTCTGTCCGAAGCCGGTATTGACCAGGATGGCGTGTTTAAAGAATTCTTAGAGGAAGTCGTCAAGAAAGGCTTTGACCCATCGCTTGGTTTATTCAAGGTAAGGAGCTGTTAACAGTGATGTTATTCTGTGGCACAGATGGTGATATTGTCTTGATGTACCGCCAAATTCTCCAAACTAACCGAAGAAGAAATGTATGGCACTAAGTAAGGAGAATTTATACTTTGATTGCGTTAATTTTCAGATGACAAGTGGGGAGGAAGAACGACTGTTTCCATCATCCACCTCCTGCATTCACAACAACCACTTGAAATTGTTCGAGTTCCTGGGGAAAGTGTTGGGCAAAGCATTGTATGAGGTGTGTAGATCATTTCTTTTATATAAATCACTGTACTGAAAACATTCATTTTTCTTCCATCCGAGGCTTGTATCGAAGATGCAGTCTAGAAAGGTTCAGTTGTTTTGAGGGCGCAAGAAAAGCGGAAAAATCGTTGGAGAAAAATCGGTGAAAGTGACCGGACAGTCAAATATTGTAACGAACTACTTTTTAACATTAATTCAAAAATGTCGTGTAATAAAGCTGGTCTTAAGCAGGCTCTACATACGTACATACATAAAACGTTATTTTATCTCAGATTCTGAGCTCTAACGTTACAGAACTCAGCACGAGATTTTTATCAGGTGTTTGTAAAAACTTGCAAGTTTCCCTTTCTTTCTGGAAAGTGAAAGTTTCATTACATATTACATAACACAATGTTTCTTGTTTTGTTCATTATTTTCAGGGCATGGTAGTTGAAGTGCCCTTTGCACCGTTTTTCCTAAATCACGTTCTTGGTCGTCAACACAGCAGTCTGTACAGCTCAATAGACGAGCTGCCTTCTTTAGACCAGTCACTTTACAAGAGTTTGTGCTTCATCAAGGTTGGTCACTTCTCAACGTTACATTTTGTCTTTGTAAAGGACGGCGGTTACAGACTTGATGATGATGTTCGATGAAATGTGGAGATTGGAAAGAATAAACCATCCAAACCCGGCTAAACATTTTAGAGACCTTTTCTTTGCTTTTTATGTGGTTTGTTTCAGTACCAAAGCAATGCTGTTCTTCTTTTTTTCTGTCTCTCAGCATTATGATGGTGATATTAGAGATCTTGAACTGACGTTTTCTTTCGATGAGGATGTTCTTGGCAAGGTTAGAATTGAACTTTTTTTCTTTAAGTTAAGTCCAACTTAGTCTCATCCCACCGCAGCCCGCTTTCTCCATGTGGAGTCTGAGTAGTACTAATCCCTGGGTCATTTCTAGCCGCTGATATATGGCCTGACATATGGCCGAGAGTTAACTGAGTTGTCTGCGACGAAGACTTGGGTACACTGTTCGTCGTCTTGTTATTAATATGCTGTGCTGTAAATTCTGTCCTATGTTTTAGGTTGTCACTCATCAGCTCATGTCAGGCGGGAATGTAATTCACGTCACTAACGACAACAAGTAAGTCTTGCTCCTTTTTTCCATTCATTTTTCACGACCTGAGGCTTAAACTATCCTTACCACCCTTATCGTGAGAATCGACCAGAAGACACTCCTCCTTTCCCCTTACATGACATGTTATTTTCATTCCCACACAGGATCAGTTACGTTCATTTAATGGCGCACTACCGCATGTGTGTCCAGATCAGGGAACAGACGGCCGCCTTCATACGGGGCTTTAAGTCCATCGTGCGACATGATTGGCTGCAGATGTTTTCTGGTCCAGAGCTTCAGAGACTCATTTCTGGCGACAGTGCCGCCATGGATCTCAGCGACTTGAGGTAAAGTTAACCGCAAGTGTAATTCATTGGGAGGTGGGAGTTGGGGTTTGGAGACAGGGAGTGGGCTAGAATTAGGAGCCTGTCAATAGAAGGGGTGGAAAGCGAAATTGCTAAAATGGTGTGAACGGGTCAAGAACGAGAAAAATCGCAAGGCTGCGCAGTAATTGCGTAAAATAAAAGAGGGGAATGAAAGTTAAGGAATAAGGGAATTTTAGACCTCCCCCCGCCCCCTCCTTCCACTTTTCCACACCTCACAATTTCTTTCTCTTGAAGCGAAGCTTAAATCGGAACTTAAACGGCTTCTTAGGATGCCTTCCACTCCAGCCTTGAAACTAAGAAACTCTTGTTTCACCCCACCAGGGTCCTACTTTCCAGTTTCATCATTTATTTACGAATCTAACTGTTTCGTTCTTCTTTGAACCCCATAGACGTCACACACGATATTACGGCGGTTACCATAGCAATCACAGAGTAGTTAATTGGTTGTGGGATGTACTGGAAAAAGAGTTCAGTGAAGAAGAGAAATCCAGATTTCTTAAGGTACCATGTCCTATTTTGATATGTCCGACACTTCGACTATATCTGCCTGCCTTTTATGAACTTGTCAAAAGTTGTGGCCATTCTCTGTCGAGTAGAGGACCCATTGTACTGTTGCTCAACGTTTTCCCGCGTTAATTAGGAGTAATACGAACACAAAAAGATTTCCGTCCCTTGTAATGTTCGCCGAGTCTGGTAAAGTACCTCCTGTAGGAGAAGTTGACCAGCCGTAAGTTTATACCTCCGAGTAATAATCGTTTTTGAAAAAAACAAAAGCAGCGAATTGCATAACATTTGGTGAGAATTTTTGCTCTGCGACTAGAAATTGCCTAAGAGAATATTTCCGAGTTAGAGCTGCAAATGTGACTTTTCGTAGGTTTTTTATACTGGTTTCGCTCGTTATTTATACTCTATCGACTGGAGTTAGATATGAAGTGGTTTAATTTTAGTGCATTCAGATAGTTGACATTCTTTCCCCTCCTCCACCCCTCACCGGCTTCTCTTTGTCTATTCAGTTTGTAACAAGTTGCTCCAAGCCTCCCCTACTGGGTTTTGCACACCTTGAGCCGCCATTTTCAGTTCGCTGCGTAGAATGCAATGATGACGAGGTAAGTGTTCACAAGATTAAAATCGAATTTCTCCTTACAGCATCGATATTGTATCAAGCAAACAGGTGACGAGAATTAAGGAAATCGTCAACTTGAGGTTACCCCACTTATCAAACGCTATATTTATATATCGAGTTAAGTATAAATGTGCTAGCGTTCGATCACGCATGCCGTTCTCTGATTGGCTACGCTACTTACTATCTATTCTGTTGTATAAGGTGAGTTGTGGAACAGTGTGCGGTTGTGAAAAAAATGACCGCCGCTTCTTTCTTTGCGTTTTCGAGGTGTCTGTGAAGAAGATTTAGATAAAGTGTTGAACGACAAGTAGATTTATACTAAAACAATTAGATTATTCGTTCTCGATTTCTATGCGTGATAGAAATCTCGAGAAATCTCTTACACTCGTGTAAGTTTGGGGACCTTTGAGAGAACTCAAAAAAACTGTGGAAACACTCTCCTGTCGGCTCGTGTTCCCACAGCATTTCTCGTTCTCTTAAACTTCCACTCGTGTTTTTTTCAACTCAGTAGAAACACGGTACATGTTTTCTATTTCTCACAAAAAGCGCGAGTTGGTTTGGGCCTGCGAGGAAGAAAGCAAGCTCTACATTTTCTCGCCTCGCATGTTTTCTCTCGCGGGCGTTCTCCTCCAAACTCACGCTCCACATTACAAGGCGGCTGCTACGCGAGCAGGCGGAGATATTGCATCAAGACAATAAAATGTTTATTGTCTTGATGCAATACCAATTCTCATAACTAACATGAAAGTAAAAGCGTGGCGATCATTAAGGAGAATTAATAATTTGATGTTATGTCTGCACGTTGCCTGAAAGTTTGGTTTTAACGGTAACCGTCGCGTGTTTTCCCTCCCCAGGATGAGGGTGACACTGTCGGCAGTGTGTTTCGCGGATTTTTCAGCATAGGTCGCAGGCGTGATCCAGTCGGCAGGTTACCAACCTCGTCCACGTGTTTCAATCTGCTCAAACTTCCCAACTACAGGAGAAAAAGCACGCTCAAGGAGAAGCTCCGCTATGCAATCAACGCTAACGCAGGCTTTGAACTATCATGAGGTTGTCGTATAAAATCCTCATTCAGGCTCACTACCAGTTTTTGTTATCCTAGAAGAACACGGTACCTACAACAAGAACTGTCGCGTCAGCTTGACGTCACCATGACCACGTCATGTTACCAAGCAACCACACTGGCCAGGTCGCGGGCTCAGTTAATTCTCTCAAACGAGATTGAGGGAATAGCTTTACTCCTTCGTCAACAAACTTGCCGTACTTTGACGTTGAGCTTATTAATTACTAAAGCAAAGGAAGGAAGGAACTCATGGCCGTCTTGGTTCGACGATAAAGCCCGGACCTTACCAGATCAATATTTCGGAAAGTTGTTAAAAAGAAATTTCAGTTATAAACAACTGTAGATAAATGTTTTGTGAATGGCAAAGAAGATTCAGGTCGTTTGAATTTAAAATAAAAAGGGAGAGAGAAGTTAAGAGGACAACAAGGTTAAAGACTGTTGCGTTTTATTTAATATGGTTCCTCGTCAAGCCATTTTTATTTCTGTTAAAATGAATTTTATAAAAATATATGTACAAACTAACTCCAGGGTATTACAATTAAGTTAGATTATTGCCTGTGTTTTGTAAGGTTAACATATGTATTGAAACCTTGGATGAAAATTTAGAAATTACAATTACTAACAGACACACTGTTTGTATTTGTTGAACTGAATCTGTTTTCTAAGGCTTTGTTCACTCTTGGTGCCCAAGTGCGGTACCCGACTACGATCCTCGCAGGGCACTTTTGTGAACGCACCTTTTCACCAAGTACTCACACCAGAATTCGGGGACAGTGTCCGTGCCCGAGTACAAACTCGGACACTAAATGGGTCTTTGGAGTTGACCGTGTCTGAACGCAACACAAATTTTGTGCCAGTGTGCCCCGGCACCAAGTGTGAACACAGCCTAAGATGGGTTTTCCAAAAACTTTCCAAGAGATTCATTTGTTCCCTTCATTTTGCGCACGGTGAGCTGTTTAAACTACAAACTGTGCGCAACGTCATATTTTTTCTTTCGTAGCGAATCAGATCCAAAACTAACACGAATCGCGACTTTGCCGTTCTGGGCAGCGGTTACAAGTTTTCCCGCGCTTGTCAACGATCTCGTGTTTTCGCGGGCATGCAACCACTCAAACAATACTGTGATCGGTCGCGATTGCTTTAGTTTAGTTGTTACACACCTGAAAAACCGCTCCAGAAAAAAAAGTCTTCTGGAAATGGTGAGGGCGAATAAAAACCGTTCTTTGGCAAATTCACCCTTGTTCACCCGAAAATTTTCCGATTCTAATCGTTCAATCAGACGAAAACGGAAGTCGTCTCGGTACTGATGAGCCATCTTTCCCAAATTGGCATATTGTTCCTAGTGACGTGAATAATCTATTTGCGACCAGAAACAGTGCTTGTTCCCTCGAAAAATTCGACACATTTTTAATGCAAATTGAGTTAAGCAAGAAGAATCGTGAGGAGAGTGGTATGAACTCCATGAACTCCACGCGATCGGTGACAAAATGAACTTCCCCAACAAACAGAAAGCTCTGCTAAACTGTTTACTGAATGGTGTAGCTTAAACTGAAACTCGAATGTAAATTACGTGTGCATCTGAATACGGAAGAACTCAAATGTAAGCGTATGTAAGGGGAAAAAACTTTGCTCCCTCTCAGTTTCAATCCACAAAACTCACGAGGAAAATATACTTCTGAGGATATTTCAATGCCTAATTAAGTTCTTCGAAGTTTTGCGGATATGTGAACGTCTGGGCTTTAACGAATGCCCTCCTCGCTCCCTTTACTCTCTGAAGAATACATCTTCCTTCTACCTTACACAACCCACGCTGGGGTCACGATGTATTGCCTTTGCTATCGGTCTTCCTTCGTAACCAGAATCAGATCAAGAATGTTCAGTAGTCCACGCAACTTTCGGGCAACCACAGCCCGTGTCGAGCGTGAAGTCCACATCGTTGCAGGCAACAGATACCGCCGTTAATATGAATAGTATTAAAATCCTATTAGAATAGAAAATTGAGACAATGTTCTAAATCATCAATGCTTTGGAATAGTGTTGAATATTTTGAGCGCTGGACCAAGCTTGATCTTGAGAATGTTGACGATATCGTTCTGTGTCAGCAAAAGAAACGCTTCACCGTCAATTTGCTGAAAGAGAGAGAAGGAGAAAAAAACCTTAAAAAAATATGACTTTTATTTGAGTCGTACCATACTCACATAGGCTGCTAATATCCGCGTCTCAGTGGATGTGGCACCCCTCCCCTCCCCTTTTACAAAATCGTTCGCGGAAAAGAGCACTTTACTCACTTGATCTGCGAAAATCTTGGCCTGTTCCGTGCAGCCCAACGAGCGCACGTGACTCATGACGTCATCAACAGTCCACTTCATGATACGCTGTCTTTCATTGGAGGCGACAGAGTCATTCTCTAAACTAATGGCGGCCTTGAGCTCGCTGAGACCCATCATGGAAAACTGGCTTCCTAGCGGCCAGGGAAAGGAGAAGGGCGTGGCGTGTTGTACTGCCTTGTCCGCATCTGTGGAAACAAAAACAATGGCATGACGCAGACGTTTTTCTAACCTGTCACGCAACCGGGGACACAACGTCGCTTCGCGCTTGGGCCATAAATCGATGGGGAAAAACTCGGTCCGTAACTTAAAGTACGGCCCTCGAACTCGGTTAGTAAGATATATATATTTACGCCTGTTAGACTCTAAGTACAAACTGACAGAATATATGATGCGCAAATAACTACTCACATTTATGTTGACCGCCGTGGTGTTTCTCCTCTTTGACAAACACTTTCCTACAAAAAAGAGAATATTAAGAAAGAAACTTACTATAAAATGGGAGAGAGAGAGGGTGGGATGGACGACAAGTGTAACATTTAATATCATGACTTACCTGGCAGAACTCCGTGTAGATATAATACTACTACCAACTGATCCTTTGACACCACCACTGACCGAGGAGGGACTGGTGGACGTGGGGGAGAGGTGTGGGGTCTTCTTACTGACGGGAGACTTCGTGGAATGTTTTGGGAAGATCTTAGCTTGGTTTGCCTCGTTGTTAGGGCAGCCTGACAAACTAGGAAGAGAAACAACAAGGGAACCGCTATTAATTTTAACTGGACGCCAAGCACTATAAGACCTGCTGAGCTTTGAATATAGCACTATAGGAAGAAGAAAAATAACATCACGGTCGAAATTCAGAAGGAAATTACATAACGCAACACGAACTATTGGTCGATGTTACGAACTTCTCAGTTTACAAGGTCTACTAGGTTACACAAGAATTCTAGGTTCACATGAAACATGAGAAGAAAAAATAACTATTCACTTAGGTACAGCTTACGTGTAATGTGTCTTCCAGTGTCCGGTGACGTGACCCAAACCGTCACACCCTGGGGTGGGACACACGCCCTCTACGGTAGGCGTTGGAGGAACTTCTGCTACAATAAAAACAACATAAAACGTTACCACAGAGTGAAGGTCAACTTCAAAGATAACACAGTGAGTTTGTAAGGCCTATTCCAAACGTCGTGCTACTGCCGCGCCGAACTAAATTCAAGAATTAAATTCGATTTAAGCGCGGCAGTAGCACGACGTTTGAAACCACTCAGTTCGGGAGGCTGAATGAAGTTCGGCACAACTACTTAGCACGGCAACTGAATTCACAGCCTGCTGCTTCAGTTGCCGTTGCTTTCTAGCATTTAAAATGGTCTTCAGCAAAGCAAAATTCTTCCGATCTTCGGCGCGACTGAAGTAAATTCTTTTGTCATGCCACTGCCGGGCCAAATTCATTTGAGTTCGGCACGGGAGTAGCACGACGTTCGGACTAGTCCTTACGTTTGACTTCTTTGACTCCTGTGGTTTTCTGTTTGGACGCATAAGACCAGTCAGATTCCTCGGTCATGGAATTGTTGGAGAGTCGATCCACCAGGCACGAGTCCTTGTTCAGGTTCTGCAGTGAGTAAGGACAGCCGAACGTGCTGTGATGCGTGGAGTACTTGGCACCCTTCACGTGTCCAATACCTTTACATCCAGGAGTGGGACAGGCTGCGCTGGAGATCTTTTCGCGCGTTGCTAAAAAGAAACATAAACTTTGAGCAATTCGCGAATGAGTGACTTGACCCTTCCTGGGACCTGTGACGCCACTAAACCAAATTAAACGGTAAACATGGCACGCACATTAGAGATGGGCTAACAACAACGCAGCAAACAAAGTCATTTTCAAAACGTTTTCGTCTGAACCCAGAATGACTCGTAAGCTGTACCAAGCTGACCAGGGAGCAAGAGGTCGAAAAAGGTTTCCCTTGTTTGAATGACGTTTTAGCGTTTGGATAATACCGGGCAAACGTTTTGTACTAGTATTGTCATTGTATCGGTATCTGGAGACCACAATCAGAGATGGCCCCCAGAAAAACGAAAAAAGGGCCAATTTGGCCCTTTCCGTT